TAAGGCAGCGAGGCAACAAGTCAGCTGCCTAGGTTTTCGGATGCAGCCATTGATTGGCTGTAATTGACAGCAATTAAACAATATCAAGGCTATAATGTAGTCAGTAGTGCCCTCTGGTGGTTTGGAGCCAAAGAAATAGAATGCTGGTTAAAAGAGTATTCCAAAGTCAGTATACAACACAACACAAAACAATAAAACTTAAATATCTGTAAAAATTATATGAACTGCTTAGTAGCTCAAAACTTAACTTTTAACAAAATAATTAATGTAAGGGCCTTTATAAAATTCCAATATATCTATTACGCTTCACATTTCTGCTTTTAAATGCTCCAAAAATTAGCCCGTGTATAAACTGGAGACTTCCGAACTAATGGTCGAGGAAAAGACTTCGGAAGAAATCATGATGTGCATACAGAGTATACAGTATATGTGTGATACGTCAGCATGTCACAAGGTGACAAATTTGATAGGTTGTCAGCAGGAATAAAGCCACAGAGGCATTTCTGCTCAGCTGTGCCTTCTGGCGCTCTTTCACCAGTCATAGAAACACAGTTACGTGCATAACCTGCGTTATCATTGTAATCGCTGCCAAATGAGGCTTTTTCATTCAACTGTGATAAGCTTTTGAAATTACTGGAAGTGAACAACGGCAAATAAAAGATGCGTTGCAATGTTTGTTCCAGACCTGCATGTGGTTTTGCTTGAAGCAATAAAGTGAAAGAGGCCATTCTTTTTTGTGAACATAGTCACTGTTAAAGGGAATTGTTAGGTAGAGTATGCAAGAGAATAAAACTTCACTTACTCTTAGGAATAATTCACCCAAAAATGAAAATCTGCTGAAAATGTATTCACCCTCAGGCCATTACCATTTAATTCCATCACTTGCTCACCAATGGATCCTCTGCAGTGAATGGGTGCCGTCAGAATGAAGTCCAAACAGCTGATAAAAACATCACAAGTAATCCACACCACTCCAGTCCATCAATTAACATCTTGTGAAGCCAAAAGTTACGTGAAACAAAATCCATCAAAGCATTTCAACTTTAAACCATCACTTCTTGAGTCCATAATCCATAATAACACTCCCTCCCAAAAGTCCATCCCCTGTCAGAATAAAACTTCACTTACTCTTAGGAATAATTCACCCAAAAATGAAAATCTGCTGAAAATTTATTCACCCTCAGGCCATTACCATTTAATTCCATCACTTGCTCACCAATGGATCCTCTGCAGTGAATGGGTGCCGTCAGAATGAAGTCCAAACAGCTGATAAAAACATCACAAGTAATCCACACCACTCCAGTCCATCAATTAACATCTTGTGAAGCCAAAAGTTACGTGAAACAAAATCCATCAAAGCATTTCAACTTTAAACCATCACTTCTTGAGTCCATAATCCATAATAACACTCCCTCCCAAAAGTCCATCCCCTGTTGCCTCTCACATTAAAATTGGGTTTGTAAACAATGCTTGATCTGTGCATATTTCTCCCCAATTCAGACGAGAGAACATTTTCACTGGCGCAAGCGTTATTATGGATTTATGGACTCGTATTTTAACTGGAAGCAATGGTTTGAAGTCACTTTAGTTTATTACAAACATGCAACTTTTCTCTTCATAAGACATTAATGATGGACTAGAGTCATATGGATCCCTTGTGGATTATTGTGATGTTTTTATCAGCTGTTTGAACTCTCATTCTGACGGCACCCATTCACTGCAGAGGATCCACTGGTGAACAAGCGATGGATTGACACATTTCTCTAATTTTGTTCCAATAAAGAAACAAGCTCATCTATATCTGGGATGGCCTGAGGGTGAAATGTTCAAAATTTCAGACATATACTATAAAGTGCCTTTAGCTAATTTTATACACCGTCCACACGGAGACGCGTTTAGCTGTATACGCATACATTTTGTATCGTATAGGCATTTCGTCCACACGGATCCGGCGTTTTGGGAAAGTGAAACCGATATTTTTTGAAACCAGGTCCCAGAGTGGATCAATCTGAAAATGACACCCTTGCGTTTTCGTGTGGACAGCGAATCCGTATATTTTCTGAAACGATGACGTCATCAGCCCACGTCTAGCCCCGAGTCAGACACCGCTATGTCACGTAACAGCAACAAAACATGAACAAACACTGAACGATTGTCTTTTTATTAACTAACATTGTTCCATGTTTGTTTGTATACCGCGCGCAAGGTTTATGCGCATAGTCCAAGTCTTCTTCTCGGTTTTTAGTGTATCTCTGTGGCAGAATTACAGCGCCACATACTGGTCTGGCATGTATACTACATCGTTTTGTGTCGGTTTCATGGTTTCGTGTGGACGCAGATATTTCTTGAGACGAGGGAATAAAAAAAGATCGGATAGGGAAAGCTCTGGCTTCGTGTGGACGTAGCCTTAATTTCAAATGAAAATTTGCTGAACAGACTATATATTATATATATTATAATGTCTTGAATTTTGTATCAACAATTCAGCTTTCAGTATCAGAATGAAGTTGTTTTCAGGCCATTTAGAAATGTAATATCCGCAAGTTGCTGTTATTATGAGAAGTTGCTGGTTCTCCTGAGATGATGCTCTTACAGTTACTAGGCACTAGTGTTTGTATCCTCTCCTCATCATTAGTGTTGCCGCTGGTAAACAGCTTTGATTATTGCAGAGACCAATACGGTGGAAAGTGAGAGGGTTGTTTGGATACTCTGACCCATAACAACCGTACTTTCATCCCCAATCTTACACTGAGCCTTTTAGAGGTACAACCTCCTCCCATCATGTAACGGTCCTGCTGGCTTAAATCCTGTTTCCTGGCAACGCATCTGTTACTTTGCCTCATTTTTGTCTTCCCACACTTTGGTTTCTCCAGATTTGATTCATCGCATCCAGAATGTTGACATGAATGAATAATGAATGTCCTCATAGTCACATGCCACATATTAGTGTTGTGAAGGACATTGTTTTGTTTGATCTCTTTTTATTGAACTTGTTTTTCTTTTTCTTGTCTTTTACAGTTCTTATAATAAGCTTACATTATAATAAGCTTACTAAGTCCAGATTCCAGAATGTGCTGTATTCCCTCATTTTCTGAATTTTCACATCAGCCAAACTAAACTCATTTAGGTCACATAAAATGTATTATTGTTGTTATTATTTTAAGTATTCTTAGATGAGTTGAACAAACACCTGGATTAAAAAAAAAAATACAAATCTTGTTGCAGCCTCCCTCACTTGTAAGTAGCTTTGGATAGAAGTGTCTGCTATAAATGAATGACTGTCATTTAAATGTAAATGTAGTCATTAATGCGAATGAGTGCTGGAAGTTGTATTAAAGCCAACACATCCTGATGACCGGTCTTTGTGTATGGAAGAGCTATTTATCTAAGTTTAATAACAACTGTTGCAAATATATTCTCAAAGAGGATTATAATGACAGAATGTAAGGGATTATTGAGTAGTTGAAGGACAGTTATTTCACAAAACAGCTTGTAGAGTAAGACAATGAAATATATAGTGCTTTAAATGTATAGTATGTAGCTAATAACTGGACAGAATTCAGTTTTCGTTGCAGGGCTCTGCTAAACAGTCGACTGATTCAAACGTACAACTATAGAGTCATTTTGAGCAGTTCATTGAAAGTAGTGGCTCATAAGAGTAAGAGTCAAACTACGCTGTTGGCACTGTTAATTTGTTAACGCGCTCCTGACAGAACTGCTGCTTTACTGTGATCAGAGCTCCATACTTTAACTGCTTTACATCTCATTTACATCACAGACAAATGTTTGCTGATTGGTCTAGATGCGCGAAACCACTGTACACTTGTGGTAGCTCACCAGGTTTACACCAAATGACTCAAATCTAGAAAGATGAACGGAAAATATTGTAGTGGAACAGTGAAAAGGACAAATATTGAAGACAGGACTACATTGCTCACCATAACATAACTATTTCCATCAGCAATTCTATGGCTCTGTTCCAAATCCTAGAGAGCTGCCTACATAGACTGCATCTTAAAGGGATAGTTCAGCCAAAAATGTCAATTCTGTCATCAGTTACCAACCCTCATGTTGTTTCAAATGGACTCGAGGCGTAGAGGGACAGAAATCTCTCAGGTTTCTGTAAAAATATCTTCATTTTACCACTTACTACAGTAGAATTCGTAGGTGAACACTCCTCTGATGCCTTACACCTGTCATACGAAATGTATATATATATATATATATGTACAGTATATTTTAATGGAACAACCTTTAGACAAAATATTTTGTATTGGGAAATATACAATATATTGGGAAAAGACCTCCACACTGTAAAAAATGACTGCGAATTTAACGGTAAAAGACTGTAAAAATGCTACAGTAAAAACCTGGGGGTTTTTTTCTTTTCTTTTTTGTTAAGTATCATATTTGATACATCAGGCTTTCATGGCTTATATAGTGTGATTTAGTGAGAATGTGGAGCTCATACTCAGAAGAAAAACACCTCAGTTTTATGAAGAGGAAAAACGTATAATGCAATGCAAAACAATGGCACTGAGATGATTGAGATGATGAACAAATAAAATCATGTTTCTAAAAATGATGCATGGATTATCAAGTAAACACAAGATGCTTCATTCTTTAAAGTAAGATCTTTAAAGTAAAATTATCAATCGGATGACAGAAGGCATGTAGTATATTGTGTGCAACAGGATTTTCATCAGTTTTGATCAGGTTAAGGATGATCCAGTAGCTTTATAGGGTTAAGACAGTACATAGGCAACTCAGTAGGTTTGGGAATAGAGACAATTTCGCCAAGATATGGTATAAATGTTGATGCATGAAGTCACTCTTTTGGGTCTCATTGTTTTTTAGGGCGCCCTACAAATTGGTGATGCGTTACTGTTGATAATATGTAGCATTCATTTTTTATTTTTTATAGCTAATAAAGGAGTATTGTTTTTCTCCTGCATTGTGTCATAAAGTGATTTGTCTCTGTGTTTTTGGCGTCCCTGTAGAAATATAAGCCGGGCAGATGTGATGACATTCTGAAGTGGAAGCCGCCCAGCCACAACTCGGTCGATTTCAGACTCAAGATCACCAAAGTCGGCGGGGAGGGGTGAGTCATCGTCACCATGGCAACTGCATTCACTACGCTCAAATCAATGCTAAACATCAGAACACATTCGACAAACTTCCCACAACTCACACGGAGACCAGTGTTAATGTTGACAGCAAATTTTGATTTAGTTTTAGTCATGGTCTTTTGACTAAAATGCAATTTCGTGTCATATTTTAGTCATCTGAATTTTTTTTAGTTTTAGTCTAGTTTTAGTCGACTAAATATCATAAGATTTTAGTCGACTAAATCTAAAGTAAATTTAGTCGGCTAAAATCTAATGGGTTTAGTTACAGTGTAATGCATTTATTAAGCATTTCTCTAAAATTTCCAAACTCATTATATAGGTTTGATATTAAAGTTTTATCATGATAGACACCGATTTAACTGCGGTGACACACAACATGCCTTTATGTTAAAATTAAATAAAACCACTTCTCATAAAGAAACAAGAACATGGTCCTCTTTTAAAACACCAAATGAAATACCTGCTATATAATGTGCATTCTTTATAACAACTTGCATACAACATCCTTCATTCTTTCAAGCAGACATATTTATTTCTATAAATACATTTAGATTAATCTTTA